GTGTGTGTGTGTGTGTGCATTTCTATATGTGATATGACACAGGACGAGTCCTGGAATTGAGCAACAATAAAGCAATTGACAGGGGCCAGAGATGGCGACTTGTGGCTGCTTATTAATTGAATAACCAAGGAAGCGCAACTTAGAAGTCAACTTGCCAACTAATTAAGCACGACTTTAGATGAGCTCACGCATTCACTAAATCGATATGCATTAGTCAACTACAAAGGTATTAGAATGGAGCTTAGCTACACAGCTCATAACAATGAGCTTTGATTCCAATATAAATAGTAATCTCTCAGCGAATGGGCTTGGCTTTAAATTGGTTCATTTAAATGGGTTGTAAAAGTAATTTAATAGAAGAAGAAAAAAAAAAAAACACACACACACACACACGTAAGAAAGCTCAAACTGATATTTCAATAATTTTTCGCTTCTTCTTTCTGTCAATAAAATAAATTCCCGATCAACATGTTCTATATCTCACAGAACTCTAGTATGGACTGACAAATTCAAATCTAGTATGGACTTCAAAATTCATATCTTAATATTGCTAAAATTCTCCAAAATGACAAATTACATTTTTTGCTTGGGACAGAGCTGGGCATAAATATTAATTGAATTTGCCAGTGAGGCCAGTTGAGCGTCCACTTACCAACTAAGTGAGCAGAAGTTTGTCTGCGTTTACTTTGCCAAATTGCACATACATCAAATCTACATACATTTGTCACACGCATAACAAACATCAAAGAAAATAGTTTCAAGTGTCCGTGCCAAAGTTTCTCGGCTTATTTATACCCTGTCCTGAGACATAACAAATGGAGCAATAGCCACTACTACGTACAAGTAAATTCCCAGTCCGCTGAGAGCCTCTCCTCTAGGTGTGCTGGGTATGGAAGTATGCAGCATTCATAAGGCAAACAGCTGGCAGGCGACACAACTCAAATACAATCAAACAAAAATCAAAAATTAAGAGCAGAAACAACTCAAGAAATAGCCCGAAAGAGTGAGAGATAAACAAAGTGCCAACACAAGCAACAAGACACCAGCAAAAAACAAGAAGCAGAGCACAGAAAGTTTCCAGTTATCCCCTCTGTTCATCTCGTTCTGTTGCTGCTGTTGCTGTTGCTGTGTGCTCGTTGTTATTATTGTTGTACAGGTGCTTCAAGTGTCTGTCCCATGGGTAGCTGCAAAGCAATTGCTAAAACTTGTCGCACATTGCTTATGTAGGCCTTCGAGTCAGAGCCCTAACTGTGGAGCAGCATTCACTAGAGATTGCTAAATCAATCGAACTGCTGCTACTGGGGAGCTTAAACATGATTTTTAGTTGATATATGTGTGCATAATATGTATATACCAATATACATGTATAAAAGCAATATACATTACAGCTATAAAGAGCAAACAGAATCCGGCAGATAGACCTCTTCAGCTACAAATGTATATTTATCTCAATGATACATTCATAGATACTACATACATACATACATAGATGTATATGAACAGTTGCATCGAAAAGTAATTATATGTGTATCTCTAATATACTGAGTATATTTAACTAATTACCAAATAAAATTTATATACTTTTTTAATTGGCTAAAGACTTTATAAACAAATGAATCTTTGAAATACAAAAGTATATGAATGCCTTAGGCCAGTCTTTTAGAAAGATTTAACTAACAGCTAGGTAAAATACATTTGCTATAAGGCCGTAAATACAAGTAATGTATCTTTAAGATACAAATGATGTAATTCAGCAATATTGAAGTCTTGCATTGTAGAAAATAGATCCAGAGCTGTTTAGACTTAATCTAAGCTTTTATCTGACAAGGATAACAAGGCCCTGCACCCACTCTTTGGCAGATAATCTTTCATTAACAACAACATCTCAACGCCAGCTACTGCCAAAGTGCAGGTGAGCCAACAGTGAAGGAGATGGCTAATAGAATTGACTGAAATTGTTTGCAGCCGCGTCAAACTTGTCCCAAACAAAAGTCGTACAAGTCGAATGCTTCATTTAAAATGCATGCGGCAGCCTGTCAGCCGGCAACGATGCCATTCGCCTCGAGCACATTTGCAGTTTTAAAGAAACAAAAAAAAAAAAAAAAAAGCTGTCGTGGCAGCCGCTGCAGTTGCAGTCTGTAAAAAGATTTCGAGTCAAATTCAATGTACAGCCGAAGGCAGGAAAATGCAAAAATTGTATTTTACTTTTGACGCTGTCGCCGCAGACATACCCAAAAAATAGTCAAATGCACCCAAAAAACATGTCAGAACATTGCAGCCGAGTCTAACTGGCTAAGCAATACTCTATGTTGTTGAATGAAAGGCTATTAATTAATCAATGAATTGATCTTGATGTACCAGATTGTGAAAAAGGGAATATATATTCAAGCATAATAACACTTCACCAAAACCAATATACCCCATTTGACGTTGTGTACATGGCATAAAAATGCAAAGTCGTTCTTTTTTTGTTCGTCTAATGTAAAATGCGAGGCTCGGGGTAATGTGCAGATTTTGAGCTTTATAAATTGAAATGTCAGAAAAAGTTGAGTGCGCCCAGCGCTTGACTGACAAGCAGGCAGCCAAAGCCAAAGCCAAAGCCAACGTGGAAACTAAAGCTAAAGCGAACGCTAAAGCCAAAGCTAAAGCCAAATCCAAGCTGAAAAGTCAAAGCCACAGACCCAGCCAGATACAGAACCTCCTCTACTTTGGCCAAGTCAAGTGCAAAAGTTGTTGAATCTTAAAAAACAAATAAAATAAAAATATATATAAATAATAATATAAATTGCACTGTAACGAGCCTTGACGGAATTTGACGAACAGGAATAATAATAGGCATAGGCAAATGAGACAGCGCTCAAAAGTATGCTATGGATTTTATAATAATATACAAGAGACGAAGAATATTATTTTGCACAATAGTAATTTCTATAAAAAAATGTTATTTATTTATACAGTTTCTCCACTTGATAATAATAATAATAATAAATAAAAATAAAATGAATAAATTAAAAATTGAATTTAAGCAAATTATTTTTTTTTCTTTGTTGTAAGAAATTATTATTATTATTTTTTTTTTCTTTTTTTAAAGCCATACGAGGTAGTCCAATACCATTATTGAACTAAATCTTTAGCGATTTCGCTTCATAAGTAAATCATAGGCTGTAGCGAGTATACTTCTACATGTAGAGTATATTGCAGTCGTTTACACTCCAGTTGGCTAACTTCTTTGTAATTGCAATTGTCCTGGGCATTTGGCTCACCAGCTTAAGTCTTAAATCAAAGTAAGCCGAGGCGAGCTCGCCTTACACACACACACACATACACATACACATACACGCACACATACTGGAATTGCAAATTTGCAAATTTCAAATGTGGTTTTTCTTGTATTCAATTACGTGACTGCTGCAGACATGAAATTTCCATGTTTGTGCCATAAACTCGATTTCCATTTCAATTTACTTACTCCTAGATTTTACATTTCATTGCCAGTCAAATAATTCTCATAGTTTGCTCAGTTGTTATATTTATTGTTGTTGTTGTTGTTGTACCTGCAGCTGTTGTCATCAAATTTGTAGTTTTAATTAAACAAATAAAATGCTCTCAGTTTCAGCTTTGCATTGTGGCTTAAAGCACTCGAAAACAGCGAAAGCACGAGCACACACGCAAACACACGCACACGCAGACATGGGAGAAGCATGTGGATTGCATGATAATAGAAATTAAGTATACGACCGCGAGCACTGTCTGGGCCTCCTTTTGTTGAGACATATCAAATGCATCCCTTTCGCTACTCGCTCATGTTCTATTGTCGTCTACTATGCCACTGGCAGGATAACAATTCCGGATTATCTCTAAGTATGCCCTGCAAATGCTTAGCAAAAGGAGAGAATAGGAGAGATACTCGACATAGTTTTATGGTAAAGAATTTTATTCAAAAAAGTTACTCGGCTTAACTTTATACAAATTATAATTTACAATGTAAAAAAATCAATAATCATCATATATATAATTGTAATTAGTGCTGCGCTTAAATTAATCATAATAATTATAATAATCATAGAATACATATTTTTTTTCTTGTATTGTTAAATTAATAACGTAATCATATCTGCCAGAATCGGATTGGAAAATGTGAATGAAAATTAGCGTAAAATACTTTCGGTTACAATTTTGTTGCGCCTTCGTGGAGATTCGAGAATGATCGATATTTATCGATTATGAATATTAATAAATGAAGCTTTTCGTGTTTCTCTGTATTAAATGCTTTACTCTGGCTGCTCAAATTGTGTTTGTATTTTATTTTTATTTTTTTAAACGTTTATCAAAAAGTTGTTCAAAAGAATCTTACATTTTGTATAAAAAATCGTTTGTAATAAATAATAATATATTTTTCTGGGGTTTTTGCTGTTGCATATTTTTCTTGGCTTAAATTACATTTAGCTTAATTGCGAGACATTTATGTAAATAATTGAGATTTTCAAATATTTTTTTAAGGTTTTCATTTCATATTTTTTGTCATAATTTTTTTTTTTATATTTTTTTCCTTTTTGTGTTTTGCCTATGTAAATTTAATTTATATTTTTTATTATTAATTTTATGCTTGTTTAGTTTTATGTTGTAAATTTCATTTAGGTGTGTGTGGGACTGTGTATGGATTTAGCTGTGCGTATCTTTTTTTTTTTTTAATTATTATATATTTATGTATGTGGAAAAATGTATTTTTTTTTTAGTTTTGCATTTTTTTTAACACATTTATTACGTTTTGTCTTGTAATTAGCTTAAAGATTTTTGTTTTTATTTTAGTACACACATTCAATGAAGTTTTTGAAAAACCACACTTATAATTCATATTTGTTTTTATTTTAAATTATTTTTTTATGTTTTTGCATTGGGTTTGTTGTGTTTCTTCTTTTTGTTTTGTATTTTGTTGTAGCTCACAATATTTATATTTATTTTTACTTTTTTCAAATGTTGATTTTGTGTTGCTGTTGTTGTTGTTGTTGCTCTTGTTGTAGCTGCAGTTGTTACAGCCTCATTGGGCATTTGTAGAGTATTTTTATTTCTTGCCATCGCCCTTCTGCACATAGACTATTTCGGCATATTCTGTTGCATTTTTGGCAGCTGCATCTGCGCTTGTTGTTGTTGTTGTCGCTGTGTTTGCTGGTGTTGCTGCTGCTGCTGTTGTTGTTATTGCAGCTGTCGTCTTCTCCTGGGCGGGCTTTAGTACAAGTTCAGCATAGACGAGTTGTTTGTCTTGCTGTGGATAGTAAAATAATATTACATTAAAATTGAATATAGAAAAAAAAAAGACATCAATTTAAATTATAATTTAAACATAATTTTTATACATTTTAATTGATTTATTTTTCATTCTGGTGGAAGGGCAAATTGCGATACCTTTTTTTTATTGATGCTCTACGTGTTCTTATTTGCTTTGCTTTTTTATTTAAAAGTCCACACGGGTGAAGTGCTCTGCCAAATTATAGCCTTTACATAGCATATATCGATAGATTGTACAGATTATATAGACAGAGTATTTACAAGTTACATTTACAAGTTACACAAATTTTTCGCATGCGTTATCAACACGACGAAATTACAAAAGAAAAAGCATTAAATATAATAAGGCAAAAAATTGTGTAGCAGCCAAAAAGAGAGAGCAAAAGAGAGAGAGAGAGACAATAGCAAAAAATTTGTGATTATAGAAAAATCATAAATCGATATATAATGTATATATATATTTTATATTTGGCCTACAAATATTATGCTAAGCTAAATGGTGTAGAAACACACGCACACACACGCACACAAGCACGCATAGTAAAAGACAACAGAGATAGAGAGAGAGAGAGAGAGAGAGACTTTTGTGTGGTGGTCTATTCAAGGACTGGTTCAGTTTTTGTATACCTTTGGTTCATTGTCATTGCCATCGATTGTTGTTGCTGCTGCCGCTGCTGTTGTTGTATTGTTGTCGTTGTCATTTGCGCCTGTCGCCGTTGTCAGCGTCTCACCATTGTTGTCCTTGGCATCCTTCTTGCCGGCATCCTTCTCATTGAAGCGCTTTAAAATGGCAACGGCAAAGGCTGGCAGGCGCTTGGCCTTCTTGCCGGCTGGCGCCTCCTGGTCGTTGCCATTGTTGCCCACATCCTCGGATCCAATGCCAGCGCCTGCTCCTGCTCCGGCTCCGGCTCCGGCTCCTGTAGTCGTTGCTGTTGTTGTTGCCGTGGCGGTTGAGGTGGAGGTGGCTTTTATGTCGGCGCTTTCGGTGTCGCTGCTGTTTTTGGTTTCAATTGTGGTTAAGGGTTTGCCGTTTCGTTGTTGTTGTAATTATTATTAATATTATTGTAGTTGTTGTTGTTGTTGTTATGAGCTTTTGGGGCTACTTATTAAATGTGTCAAAATTAATTGTTTGCCGTGCAGCCGGGACATTAGTAAGATTAACAGACAGTACAGTAATATATCGTATATAAATATCGTATAGCATAGCAGAGCGCTGGCTGGCCCCAACAAGCGGTATTAGTCGTGGATTAGATAGAAGGTGTGTTTGTTTGTGTGCGCTTTGGGTTAGAGAGAGTATTTGGGTTTTCCGTCTGGCTCCTTTGGCATTGGGTTAGTTAGCGGCTTCAGCTTGTGCGGCAGTAACTGTTGTTTGCTGTGTGGCAGCCGATTAAACCAAAATCTTTAACTACTCAAAAAATGTTTGGCTCTGGATTGCAATTAATTGGATGGTCGCTCAAGGAAAAGTTACGAAAAGAGAATGGATTAAGGAATGCGAACTTTGGTTGTCTGTGGAGCGGCATCTGTTAAATAGTTTCGGCTGGGTCTACGGGGGCAGAGTTTGAGACGGACTGGGGCTATTTAGAGTTAGAAATTGAATTTAAAGAAATGCTGCCAATAAATGAACTTAATTTGGATTGAATAATAAATTTGAAATTTTGTTAAAATTTATAAAAATTCTGAGTTTTTAAAGATCTTTAAAACAATTCTCTATTCCTTATGATATTTTGTGTGGCTTTGGCTTATTTTTTTTTTTTTACTTTTAGCTTTTCAACTAATAAGTAGTGAAGCCTTCTAATGGATTACCTTTTTTATACTTAATGAACTTTTGTACTGCAGTTCCACAGAGTCTATATACTGATCTGTGCAATCAAATAGCTCTTAAAGTTAGCTGGACTTGGTAAATCGAAGAACTTAATGTTCTCAAGAACTAAAGTTCGAAAGCTGCTTTATCTTTTGAGCACATGTTAGTAGCCAAAACTCGGAGTGCTGATAATCTGCCTTGAAAACTTTTTGGCTTCAGCTTTACCATTGACCTCTGCTGAACTTGTTCGCAATCGACCTTCAAGGCTGAGGCAACTCAGATGCCAGTCAGCTGATAACTGCCAGTTGGTCGCATAATTTGTTTGCCACACACACACACACACATACACGCATACACACTCACATTAGCACGCAGACGTGCAGCACACGTCAAGTGTATCCATGTATATTCCATAAATAATGTTTTGGCTCATTTGAATGTCTGGCAGTCGTCTGGCTGCGTGTTTGCTCAGTTGCAAATAGCTATTAAAAACTATTGATGCTTGTGAGAGTGTGAGTGTGTGTCTGTGTGGGTGGTTAAACTGCGGCACGTGTTCTCTATGCGGCCAACCATATTGAAAATGTGAAGCACGCAGCTTCAACAAATCCAATAATATGCAGTTTCCATACGAAAACAAAAGTTTTCAAAATAATTGGAAAAAATAGTAAAATAGAAAACACAAAAAAAAAAGAAAAACAGAAATAAATAGCATTTGAAATATCCCTGAAACCATSAAACACACGCACACACACACGCAGGCATTTATTCAGTTTTATGTTTTGCTTTTGTTAATTTATTAAAAATATATATATTGTATATATGTATATATATAAGTTATAAAATAAAGAACAACCTTATTAAAAAAGTCAACTARCTACAACTTAATAAATAATTTCATTTCGTCTGCAACCTTAACTACTTGTTCAACTCGTAAACTTATGTTAAATGTTTTAATTACCAAATTAAAAAAAATTAATACAATTGCAATAAAGGAAAATATGTTTTGGCTCTTAAGGAAGTGAAAAAATTAAAATATATATAAAGTACAGTGGGCACAGCTTAAGTTGAACACACTATTTAGCTTTGTTCCAAATAAATACTTGAGAAAAGTGAAACAAAATATGAAATCAAATCGATTGCATTTTCGCATTTCGCATTTCGCTTTTCTCTTGGTTTGTTGCTGCTTGAGTGACGTAACATTTAGCTTTTTGACGCTCAGACTTGGCCATGCAACTCTCTTGATTACATACATATTCGAAAAATTCTTAATTTCATGTTTAAATTTCATGCTGTTTTTTGTTTTTGTTTTTGTTTGTTTTTTGGTGAATATTCTTAACTATGTCAAGATTTCGTATATGTGTGAGTGTGTGTGTTTGTGTGAATGAAGCTGTCATGAGTTTCGCTTAGCCTGTCGAGTTGCATAGCTCTCAGCTATGTAACGGCATTGTGAACTAAATAAATTAGAAATTCTAGACTTCAATTTTGTGGCATTTCCTGTACCTAAACACATGTTTACACACAGACACACACACATTTAAATTTCCGTTTCCTGTGGCAGCCTTGGTGTCGTCATCATCGGCGTCGCCGTCGTCGTCGTCGTCTGTGCAGCTAGAGCTGGAGTTGTCGTCGTTGTTGTTGCCTGTGACTGTTTGTTAGGCTTTGGGGGCGTGGCTGGCGGCGCTGCCTTTGCCACCGCCTGACTGCGTCCTGACAGCAGCTTAGCCTGCTTCTCGAGCAGCTCACGCTGATCCTTGGGCAGCCAGCGTGAGAAACGTGACTCGGGTATGCCCAGCTGATTGCCGCGCTGCAACAGATCTGTGTCCGTATCGCTGTCCGGAGTCGCTGCCTCCGCTGCCTGACCCATTCGCACATTACGCAGCGGCTTTGTGGTGGGATTATAGACGCTGCTCTCCCGATCCGTGCCATACTCAAATGAATCATCTTCGTCGTGAACGCGTCGCTCCACCGAGAAGCGTTCATGATTCTGCCCATGCCCATTGCCACGCCCATTGCCATTTCCATTCGCCTCGCGCGTTTTACTGGCGCCTAGAAGCGTGATGCCGTTGGGCGTCTCCAGCAGCGCCACATTTTGGCCATGATGCGCTGCATCGCCGGAACCGAGCTGCTTCTCGCTGCAAATGGAGTCCGCGAATGTTTGGTGTGGTTGAGTGGTTGAGTGGTTCAGTGGGTTCAGAACAACAAATTTTTGACAGTTTTGAATTTATTTGGACAGTTTAGTTTTTGGTGGATGTTATGTTGTTGTCCATATGAAAGTACATAAAATAAGTACAATGGGAAATTGTGTGGTTGTTGTTGTTGTTGTTGTATTTGAGATGCATTTGCGAAATGGACAATTTCAGTTGTTGATTTTGTTTGCTTTTAGCTTTTTTTTTTTTTTTTGGTTGTTTGGATATGGCTTGGACAGCGACTTGACGTTTTAGTATATGCATATTAAATTGTTGTTGTTTTTTTGCGGAACGGCACAGTGAATAGTGGTAGAAAGAGAGAGAGAGAGAGGCAGAGCGAGAGAGAGAGGAAGAGATGGACAGACTGCAACTAGCACGGCTAGGGACGAGGCGAGGCGAGCGAGCAGTGTGTGTGTTTGTGTGAGGGTGTTGAGTGTGTGTGTGTGTGTGAGTGGGTGAATGTCTGCGTATGTGTGGCAGCGTGAAATTTGTATAGCAAAGTGATTTTGATTTGATTTCAATTTTGAAAATAGACAAGAGACAGCGTCACGCAACAAAAATGAGACTAAACACAACTTTATTTTATTTTATATTTTTTTTCGACAATATATTTTTAGTGAAATTCTCTGTTTTCGTTTATAGGGTTTTAGTTGTTGTTGTTGTTGTTGTTGTTGTTGTTGTGTATGCATTTTCCACTGACAATCAAAATAATTGCATTTCAAATGTTTGAATTTGAAAATGTTTTTAAACATACAAAATAGTACCGTATTTATTTATTTAGTTTTATTTTGTTTTGCTTTAGCTTAAATGTTTACCTATGATATATAAAACAGTTTACCTTTTGTTTAGCTTTCAAGAATTGCCAGTGGAAATTATGAATGTATATTATAATATGTATGTGTGTACGTGTGTGTAAGTGTGTATGCATGTGCTTAGATTAAACGCTGTCTAAATTTTGTATATGAACACTTTGAGCTAGCCTAAAGATAATGATAATAATGATAATGGCGATAATAATGATGATGACTAATACTACATAGCTGCGCTTGTTAATGTAAATTGTAAATATGAAAATCAAAATTAGATAGACAAACTAACTAAAATGGGTTGCTTGTATAGCTATAAGAAGAAGCACATGCAACAATATTCATGCAGAAAGCTGAATGATAATTGATCTAAGAACAGTGGATGCAAAGAACAGATACCGTTACAATGGGTTAGTTGGATGGATTGTCCAGTTAGGTAGAGTTATTTGATGACTTTATAGCAGTGACCTGGTCCCGTTGCACATTGAACTTGAATTTTGACTTGACTGAGTTGCTTTGAGGATCTGGCTTGAGTACTTACGTTTCGTTTGTGGGCGTCTTAATGGATTTACCTGTGGAAATATATAAGAGAAGAGGAATGTATTAAAATATATATCACATTAATAATATAGAAATTGGTATCATTTGATATAAAAATGGAATTTATGCAGCGTGAATGGGTCAGAAGGGAAGCCCCGCCATCATCAAAAGCCAATGCTCTAGAGAGCGAAGCCAAATGAAGCCAGTTTGTTGATTATTTAAATAAAAACACACTTTATTGTTAACTTTAAAAATAAATGTATATAGATGTTTTGTTTTCATTTGCTTATACAAACTACTACAAACTGCAAATGAAGTGTGATCAAATTATAATTACTATTATTCATGTTTTATGTTTTGTTTGTTTTTGTTTTAGCCAATTTGTTTAGGATTTACAACTATTTATAATTTATGTACGTCCCTCCTAATTATGCAAGCCAGGTTTTATTTATAACATAGGCATAATATATTTGTTTTTATTAACTAATAAGTGGAGCAGGCTACAAAAATTTGTGTATTGGAGAAAAAATGCAAAATGCTGGCAGGTCCGAGCTTAAAATAAATTAATTGCTGGCAAAAAGTACATATGTATGTATAAAACAAATGTGAAGAATTATGTTACAAAATACAATTTGTGATCTACATAAATATGTGTATATAATATGTTAAAGGTGGAAAATATGTATGTAAATATATAGATAAATATATATATATCCATATGCTGAGCGCGGACGGGTTTATCAAAGTTGCGAGATTCCTGATCAATTCGAGATTTGTTAACCTTAACTTAAGAGAGAGCGACACAGATTGTGCCCCAGCTTATCAAAATACTTGGCCAACTTAAGGTTTCTTCTATTTGCATTTTCAGTTTTAAGTTTAGGTTTTGTAGTTTTCCTTTTTACTGCTTTTCATTTAGTTTTATATTTTGTGCGCCTTTGAGATTTCTGAGCGGAATAGAGAGCGTTCTTTTGTTGTTTTGTTTAAGGTATCTTAAGGTGTTTTGTTTGCTTAGAGCAGAGGCTAAACGCGCACAGCTGACCGAGCGATCTCCCACTGGGCTCAAACGGACGTGTTTGGCGGCTTGGGTGCATCGGCGCCGCTCTGTTGGCCATTTCCGGCCGCGATTACGGCAGCGGCTGTCGCTGCGGCGCTCTTCTTCAGGTCGGCTTTCTTCTGCGCCTCCAGTTTGTCGGTGACTGGGGGCGTGGCTTCCTCTGATTGCTGCGTGGTGTCGATGTGCTCATCGCCATTGTCTTGGCCATCGAGTTCGTCGTCCTGCTGATCGGGATGGATCTGGGCCTCCGAATCGGGACCGAGATCCGTATTGAGTGTGGCGCCTGCAAGAACAACGAACAACAAGAACTAACATTTAGCGACGAGCGAGCTCTGACGGCTTGACACAACCACAATTTTGGGCCAACCTTTGAACCAGTTTAGTCGGTTTGAGCCAAAGCTAAAAGAACGTGTGTGGGGTTAGTCCATTTACCAAGTAAAGCAACAAAGTAGCGATAGAAAAAGTTACAGTAAAAAAAGAGTTGAAAACTAAAGTTAAAAGTGAAACAGAGATAAGCAAAAACCAGAATCGTATTTTCTTCTTGTTTTTTTTATCGATAGAAGTTTGAAACACATAGAAATTAAAATTAAGAAAACAAATTAAAATAAAATTAAATTTAGATTAAACAAAAAAATGGTTGTAATTAATAATTGTGAAGCGTCTCTTATGTTAGCTCTTCTTGTTGTTGTCATTTGTAGACATTTTTTTAAGGCAGAGTATTTGTGTGTTTGCTAAATTATTTATACAGGTTTTTTTTTGCTTTGATTTACAATTGTTGTTTTTGTTGTTATTTGTTTTTGTTTCTTTTTATATGCTAAATACATTTATATAATGGAGAATAAAATGATATTCAAATTTTGTTTGTGATTGGCTTTTGTTTTGTATTTATTATTAACATGCTGCGGCTTGAGAAAGATATTTCTTATAAGCTGTGTAAGTGTGTGTGACTGTGTGTGTGTTGGCCTCGTGTATAAACAGCAATTTTATAGGTATTTAATAGGAGCTTTGTTCACTTTTTATAGCCTAAGCCGATGGATAATGGGCATTTTAGGCGTCTTTTGTTACTACAAGAAAAGTTTGAAATGTTTGTAAAAGAAAGCTTTTTAACATTTTTATAAAAGATGCATACATATATACATTTTATTGAATGACTCTAAAAGTATACATAATTTCAAAATTCTTTTTTTTTTTTTTTTTTTTTTTTTTTTTTTTTTGTTAAATATATTTAATTGAGATTCTGCTAATGACACATTGTAAAGAAAATTTAATAATATAATTTTATTTATCGCTGAAGAAAATTTGTTGGGATATATTTAAAAAATTTTACTTTTGCATATGCAAATATATATATTTGCTTAAACCGGAAAATTGAAAAAGTAAATTAATTTGACTTGAAAGTTGAAAATTATCCATATGCTTAAATCACTATAATCTCACATACATATATAAGACGACGTCCACTGGACTCTAGCTCAATCAATTTCATCTTCACTTAGCTTTAAGTTTCATCTTTATTGAAGAGAAATCATCTATTGATCATTCTCAAAATAGACTCTCATCATCTAATTCTCATTCTCACATCTGTATCCACATGCCTATACTTATTTTTTTCTTTTTACACATTTCTCACTAGTTGCTTGATGGCCTYTCCGTATTTTGTTTTCTTAGCATTTAATGCTAATTATGTTTTTTTTTTTAAGCATCGTGAGATACATCTAAAGAATTTGTCACAATCCCCTAATTTCCGCCCGCAGCATCAGCCAACAAATTTAGAAAGTAAAGCAAAGAGCAAGCCGCCCAAAAGTCAAGTGAAGTACAGAAAATCAAAAAGGGGGAAAAATGAACCAAAAAATAGGAGAATTTGAATATGAAAAGTATGTTTAATTAGATGAGTTTTTAAGGCTGCGCGAGTTGCTGCCACTGCCAGCTTGCAACTCGACGCTAATTAAAATTTAAAAGCCGCACAATGAGTTAAAAGTTAGCAACTGGCTGTGGCGATGGCTGCCACGCCCACGCCCACGCCCCCGCCCATGCCCACACACATGTGCTGGTTGAGATGAGCGATGGCCAAATGGCTTGGGGGTAGGTTCTGAGGGCCAGAAATGATTGTTAGCATAGCTGATGATGATGGCATGTTGTCTACAATGATGCGAGTACATGGATGATGATGATGATGCTCATAATGTTGATGATCACGATGATAGGGGGCTGGGGCAATAAAATGTGATGAAAGTCCCAGGAAGGGAGAGAGAGAGAGGAAGAGAGAGAGCGGGAGAGCGGGAGACAGAGAGAGAAAGAGCGAGGTAGAGGAACCAACCAGCTCTGGTTACTTACCGCCAAAGCACCATCTGCCGGTGGCGCGCGCAAACAGGATGAGCAGCACAATCAGGACTAGAACAGCAACAGCCACAACGATGCCCACAATGGCAGCCACATCCAAGCTGCTGCTGGGCGGCTTGCTCGACGAACTGATGCGCACATGGTAGTCGGTGGTGCCCAGCTCGTTGCTGGCGCGCAGATTGTACGTTTTGGTCGTGTCCTCCAGCGTGAGGCCGGCAATGGCCAGGGTCACATTGTACTCGTCATTGCCCACATACTGCGGCTCATAGGCCGAATAGCGTCCCTCGGTGCGGCCCTGCGAGACAATGGCGCCATCGATGTTCCACTCAATAGTTGGCGGCGGGCTGGCACGAATCGTAATATTCACAATGGCGGTGTGCTCCAAGTAGAGTCCATAGACCGATGCCTCTGGCTGATGAACGGGCGCATCTGTGGAACGAAACGGCGGAATATTGAGTTTAATTAATTCGTTGATAGAAATAATCAAAACATGTAGCTGCATAGTACCCTCTCTAAAGTTAGAGCTGGGGGTCTTAGATGCAGCAGACGGTGCTAGACTAGACTAAAATGTAAGCCTATATGATATATTGTTGTGTATCTAAAGTGATATTTTACAGCAGAGATATTGTACAGAATATCTTCCCGATTATAATGATGTAATAGATATTTTGTTTCCATTTGAAAAGACAAAGTAGAGGTTATCGTACCGTCTATAACGATAGAGTAGATTTTGTTCTACTCTTTGTAAAGATAAAATAGAGAGTATTTTAGCCTGCTGGAGTGGAGTATTCTACCCTCTAAATTGATATAGTAAAGAGTATTGTAGCCTCTAAAAAATAGAAAAGTTCGTATCTAATTTTATATACAATAATGTATGGTGCCGTCAAAAAAGTCAGAACCTTATAATGATAGAACGTAGAAGAGAATTTCCTCTCTCCCTATTTGTTTTAATCACTTGATATCTTCTGATAAGACTTTATATAGATATTAACTACTTATGGCATCTATGCTATATACCCCAATCCCTTGCAGCTACTCACATCGCACATTGATGATGTAGGCGGCCTCCTGGGGCGGGACACTCTCGCGATCGGTTTGATGATGTGAACGGCAGACCAATTTGCGATTGCTGTCATCGGCGGTCAATGGCCATTGGATGTCCTGCACTGAGGTGGACAGCTCGACATTATCGTGGGTGGGCGTGGCCACAACCTGCAGCGGACTGGTGCGCTTGTTGGCGGGCATGTTGTCGATGTACCAGGAAATGTTGGCAGCCGGACGGCCGTCGCGCACGCTGCAACGGGCGTGGAATTCGGTGTTCTCCGAGAAGAAGCCATCGCGGTTGGGCTTCGAGATGAGCTCAATGATGGGCTGCTGCGGGCGCACTGCAAAAGAGTCGAGAAAAGGGGAATGAATGAGCTGGTGGAGTTGGTGGAGGCTAACGGCCTAACAATTGGGAATCAATTAGGCTTGAGTGAGAGTTGAGCAATATGAAATGGATATGCGATTAACTTACATGCCACAACCAGATCTATGGTGCCGGAGAGCTCCTCGCCCTCGACGCCCAGACTGCACTTGACCTGGCCATTGTTGCTGGCCTTGACTCGCTCAATGCTGACGCCGCACTGGCCGGCATTCAGGCCGGAGCCGTAGTAGGTAAATCCGGGCGTCTTGCTCCAGTTGGGCGACAAATTGAGCACCTTCTGCTCGCCGGGTATCTCGATGCGGCAGTAGTTGATGGCGCGTCCATAGCGGCAGAGCAGCTCGGTGCGATCGCCCTCGTTGAGCAGCGCTGTGTTGGGCTCCACGTTCACCTGGCCAAAGCTGAGCGCATCTGAAAAGCGAAATGGAAAAAAAATTAGTTAAATGAATGGCCATCGTTCAGACTTTGGTGTTGTGCAACAAAAGTATCTTGTATCTGTTAGCTGGTACTTATGGCTTAAAGAAAAAAAATATATGTATATATGTATATATAAATACATATAAAAATGAATGCATAGATAAAATAAAATAATAATAAAATAAAATATATATCTTATATCTGTCTTATGGCAGCGCTTGACCAATACCTGGGCTCAGCCACGCTCAGACACTTGCACGTTTTGCATCTCTAAGATACGCAGAGTATCTTCAGTTGCAACAGCTCGGCGTGACTTTGCGCCAGCAACTTGTCCCAGCCTCAAATATGCATGTGGCTGCTGCGGTTGCTGTCTCTGCTCATTAAGTTTCAATTACGCCATCTTTTTTCTTGGCAAACAGTTTTCAAATGCCTTCCCCTCTCTCTCTCTCTCTCCCTGTCTCTGTGGAGAACTTAACTGCAATGGCATTTGCAAAAGTTCTCTACGAGTCATTTTTTTTTTTGCTGCTGCCAATTAAGATGTTGAAACGATTTGCCAACTTACAAATTAAATGATTTAGCAACATGGAAAGTTTTCTTTAAACTGTTTCAGCTGTTCCTGAAAACGCATTCTGCTTAATCTCATTTCGCTCTGGCGTCACTCCAACTGCCCTTCCAGCAGAAGCCAGCAGAGCACATTACAAATATGGCATTCTGTTTACTCCTTGCCTTTAGCTCTTTAAGCTCTTCCATTTGTGGCTTTGGCTTTTGTTTATTCTCGGCCCACACTCAGTTGTGTTTTCCCCAGCCATAATGCTCTTTGCTATCCCTATCAATTCCAATTCACTTTCCTCAATTCGTTGCCTTTCAACTAGGTATGCAAAACATTTATCCAACTGTTGCCAACAAATTTGGCTTGAAGTTTTCATTTCTATTTCTTTTTTTTTTCCCCCCCTTCTTTGTGCTGTTGATCGATTGATTTGTTGTTTTTGCGCTTTTCCGCATAGGCTTCATTTTTCACACTGCTGCAATGGATAATGCTCCATCCGCTCATGACACCTCTGCCTCTCCCTCTCCCTCGCTCTGCCTGGACATGCCACAATGCCAATCTAACTAATTTTGTAAATGAAAGCCGCAAAATTGCAAAATGTGCCATAAACATGAGTTGGCTGCTGTTGCAGCTGTTTGCTGAGATGGCCACAAGTGGCGCGTTGGGGGCGTGCTGCGGGGATTGGCGTGAAGGCCAGCCGTGTGCAGCTGGGCATGCATTGATTTCAATTTCGTTGCGCTTTTTGGCTTTTTGACTGACTCTGTCTGGCTGACGTGCGGGCCTGCCAAGACTTTTGTTTGGTCAGCCGCACACACACACACGCTCACCCAGCAGGCGCAGCACGACAGGAAACAGCAACAACAACAACAACAACAACAACAGCAACAATGCTTGCTTTACATGCCGGCTGCCAATGCATCGGACTCGTCTTTGATATTTGCATTTGTTTGGCTTTAAAGCGGGTCAGCCAGCTGGGTCCGTTAGTCTGGCTGAAATTTAAAACCCCGTTTGTACTACATCTCCCCTCCCCAGCCCTCGCGCACTGCTGTTGACAGTTGACAATTGAGTTGCGAGTGATTTTTGCTCTCGGTCTCATTGAATAACTCTTTGTTATTTTATTTCACACTCTTGAGCTTGCGGCGCAATGAAACCACTTAGAGTTCTGTACATAAGCCAAATCGCTGAATTTATATTCAGTTTTAAGCTAGAATTTCAAGCGTCAGCACTTGTCGACAGCTCCCACACCCCGGCCAGACGATGCTCGGCCACCCAGCTGTGGATGGGCGCACTCACACACAGCGACACAGCTATGAAAACAAAGATGATGGCGACAATGGCAAACGGATGCGGAATGGATTGGCTACATAGTCATACCCTCAACAAAAAAAAAAAACAAAAAAAAAAACCTCGCCTCAGTGATTCTATTTGGCTGCCCCTGCATGAGGTGATTATGAGGGGTATGATGATTTTGTGTGCATGATATGTAACAGAATGAAGCTATATAAATTTGTATTTTATTTATAACTAAAAAAGCTCAACGTGGCGCATTTACTACTTCATCATCATCATTTCATCTAAATTTCCTTTATTTCTGACTAGCCAGGCACGCCTTGTATACCCTGTAACGCATCRTGATATTTATTTATTTAGTTTCTTCTGTTTTTCGAGCTGACTGCGTTTTTCAGTGCAATCTTGTCGTCTCTACCCGTGCTCTCACTCTCCCTCCCCCCTCTCTCTCTCTCTCTCTCTCGCTGTGTCTCTCTTACACTCTTTCTCACACAATATGTGTGCTTTATTTGATGCCAAGTCTGCAGTTTTCGCCTTGGTCCAGCCAGACCCAGCGGCGGCTGCTGCCGGCCGGACGGACGGACGGACGGACACTGTCCAGTTCAGTGGTCATGGCTCAGTTGGAGCTATGTGCAAAAGTTGCTTTCCCGTTTTGTATGTTTTTTCTTCTTCTTTATTTCGCTCTCATACGTGCTGTGTACGTGTGTGTGTTAGTGTGTGTGTGTGCGGTTACAAAATCATTTCACTTCACTTTCTTTCTATATAAATTGTACAATATATTTAATTTAAAGCGCAATAAAATCAACTTGCCGACCATTGCCGGGCAATCGCGGCCAAGTGGCACGCCCCGCGGCACGCCCCCTTTTGCATGGCTATTGTTTCCATTTGACTTTGGCCACGTTAGCGTCTTTTATGTGAAACGTGATTTTTCCTTAAATATAACGTTCAAGTATTTGATTTTCCGCCCCGCGGGGCAGTCGCATCAAGCATATTTTTTTTCTTCCTCCGTTCAAACTATCAGTGCACAGTGGAGCAAGGCACAATGTGAAAGTTGTTGAAGTCATTATTATTTTATTTTATTTTTTTTTATTTTTTTATTTATTGCAAGCACATGGATTCAATGGATTATCTGAGCCAAACTCTAGTTGATATATGTATATATATTCTCATATATCTTTTATCTCTGCGCATTCGATTCCACTGTTGCATTGCCCATGTTTTATTCATGCCTCGCACAGATTACACCCATCATTATTATCTTCATTTGCTACACAATTTAGCTTGGCTTGGCCCCACTGTGCGCGCCTCTCTCTCTCTCTCTCTCTTGGTTGCACAGGTCAAAAGGAATCAGCCAAATCCAGCGCGCAATGTCTGTCGGGTTGGCTGCCCGGCTGCCCGGCTGGGTGGCAAGCCACAAGAAGTCGGCATGCAATTTGGGCATAAAGAAAGGAATCAGCCACACATTGCGGCTATAGAGTCATGTTTATGTCTGTGGCATAGATAGACATGAGCGAGCACTCGGGCAAATAATGCTGCATTGTTGTGTTCCTTCGTAATTTTCAATTTATCAACGGCGGCTTATCGATATATTGTTGTTGTTGCTTCCACCTGCAGCGCAATACAATGAGCAACAACAACAGCAAACAAAATAAATATCGATGAAAAAAAAAAAAAAACTAATAATTATTGTTGATTTATGGCCAAGGAAAGCGCGATTATATCCTAGTCTAGAGCTGATATGTGATATCTGTGTGCGCGCATCTTAAGCTTGACTCTTGGCCACGAATTAAGCAAAAAGCGCACAAACTCGTATTTTTTGTTATTCGGGCTAACATGGCGTGTGTGCAATTTCTTTGGCTATTAATAATGATTGGTTGTTACATCAAATTGCCGGGTCGCGGTCTCTGGCTTTCCTTTTATTTATTATTAGCATTATTTATGGCCTGCATGAATCACGCTTTATGTACAAGATGTCCAAATTTATTAAATATTTCGTTTGATTTATGCGCCGGATAATGAAAAGTGTTAAGCGACAAATTATCAAAGCCAGCCTCAAAAGCTGGCGAAAAGACTCTATTTCTCTCCCTCTCTCTCTCTCTCTCTCTCTGATAGAGAGCTCGAGTGTTTCGGCCATTTGCCACACGTGCCACACACAGGCAACGGTAAAAGTGAGCCGCACCCAGCCCTGTCTGCAGTCTGTTCCTCTCAATCGAAAACAGGCCTCAAGTTTCGCCTGGTTTTCGAATTTGGTAAGGGCAATCGTTGCACCGCAGCGCCATCTATGATTGGGCACTGCATTTCACTAATCGCCGGCTTGGGCCTCTATAAAAGTGAAAGACGCTAAATTGCCAAATTTCCAACGGTATTGAGTGTAATTTTCATTTGGCCAGGTGAAAGTTGCCCAGGCATTGAGAGTTTAATCAACCCGTGAAGTGTTTCCTGTTGCGCGCAGCAATCGAAGCTATCGAATGCCAATTAGAACGGGTTGAAGTCGACGAAATTGGCAGCACTCAAAGGAGGCAAGAGAAGGAAGTCTTAACAGTAGAGTTAGTTGAACTAATTAGAGTTTAAATTAAATTTATATAAGTTGTCTAGGAGTCGGATCAAATCTTACTAGGTTTTGAGATACAAATACAGATACAGATACATTTACTTTTACAGATAGAGATAGAGATATAGATAGAGATAGAGGTAGAGGTAGAGATACAAGTACAGATACAGATACAGATACAGATACAAATACAGATACAGATATAGATACAGATACAGATACAGATACAGATACAGATACAGATACAGATACAGATACAGATACAGATACAGATACAGATATAGATACAGATACAGATACAGATACAGATACAGATACAGATACAGATACAGATACAGATACAGATGCAGATACAGATACAGATACAGATACAGATACAGATACAGATACAGATACAGATACAGATACAGATACAGATACAGATACAGATACAGATGCAGATATTTGTATAGCAAAGGATTACAATACACACATTTATCTAGCTACAGATACAGATAGTTTTGGCAACAGTTAGATTTGCCTTTATCTACTCTATGCAAGCTTTTTTTTCCGTAGAGCAAAAAGTGCTTTGTCAGAATGCAAAACAACTATTCATGATCAATAATATCTAGGATCTCTCAAT